CCCCCACTCTCTATATAACTCAAGCCCTATGGCCATTGTAACATCATCTTTTGAATATTAAAACTCCTTTTACTCTTTGAGTATTTATAAAATAGTGTGATGCTATTTTAGCAAAATTCCTAATTCTATATCTTAAGAGTGGTTATCTTAAGTGTGAGTTTTAGGTTCTAGATATTTGATTAAGTGTGTCATATCTTAATTGAATCCTAGATTCAAACCCCAAGTTAAGATAAGAGTGTGTAATATCTCTTTACACCAACTTGGTTTTATCCATCCCTGATTTCTTCCATTTCATACCTCCCCATTTCTCTTCTTAATCTTATTCTTTTCTTCCATTAAAATACCCCAAAAGAACTCCTTCATCATCTCCATATAATTCCATGCCATTCCCCCAATAAACACCCTTCTTCCTGCCTAGAAATCTTTCAAATAATCGATTATCCTTTGAGGGAATCGATTATCAACCCTCCGTAAAAACATCTGCAGCCTTCAACAGTCGATTGTCTTCCTTAGACAATCGACTATTAGCTTCCCCAGAAATTCTGCAGCCTTCAATAGTCGACTGTCTCCTTCTGTCAATCGATTATCACGTCCCCAGGATTCTTGCAGTCTCTAACAATCGATTGTCTCATTCTGTCAGTCGACTATCAGGCTTTCCTGAAGTTTAACGACTGTTCTAGTTTGCTACCAATCCCTCCGTAATCCCGCCCTCAAATTATCTACATGATAAGACCCCGGGTTCGGGTATAACAAGAAGCTGTACCGAAACTTTGAAAAGAGCCAATTCTTTTCTCAAGAAACAAAATTCTTGGGATACTTTATCTCAAGTGGTCAGGCATAAAGGTTAATGAGAAGAAGACGCAAGCAATTAGGGATTGGCCGATCCCTACCTCTATGCAGTAAGTTTGGAGTTTACATGGACTTGCCTCATTCTACCGGAGATTTGTAAAAGATTTGTTATACCCGGGCATGCCCTACCCAAACTCTTGAACGTGCCACAAGTGTTCAAACAAATCAGTGGATTCGTGATTAAGTGTATAATCCTTATTGGGTTGATTTCAATCATTTCCTCCATTCAGGAACGCCACCCAACACCCTTGTTGTTTTCGAACCCCCTTGGCCACCCCAACCATGTCCAAACCCACCCTGAACATCCAAAACACCTTGCTCTTTATTTCCTTTCAAAAATAAAGTCTTCCTACACTTATTTCCACCCCATGGCCGAAAATATGTAGAAGACAAACCATAAACATTTTGTTTATTGTTATTTCCTTCTTTTAAGCCTTTTAATAAAAGATGCACCTTGCTCTTGATCCTTTCCTGCCTTGGCCGAAAATACCCAGCCAAAACCCCTCCCCAAACCCATTCCATAACCTCATCCTTGCTTCCCATTATGTCCATCAACTTGAATACACAAACAGCCACTATGATCCAAAACATAATGGCCCACCATCCCACCAATTAGACCTCACTTTGTTCCCCCATAAAATGCCTACAAGAAGCCCCCAAAAACCCAGCCATTTTCTGCACAACCCCTTCCCAAATATTCCCCTCCAAATCACCAAAGGAGATTCCATTCATTTCCTCCCTGACATACCTTCACTAAAGACTGTTGGAATTTTTGGCAATTTTAATTGGCATTAAATGGACCAATTTGGGTATATTTGTCAATAGGTCCACTAACGGTTTTAACCGTTTATTAATGGACGTGTGTTCTCTTAAATGAGATAAATGTTTTGACAATTTATACGCCAAAAATGGTAGAGGGTGAATGAGAAATTGATTCTCAGAGCTAACCCGTTAATAAAAGAATATGGTGAGGATTGCAATTTT